AGGATCAGCAGCTGAGTCGATCTAGCCATGTCTGGAAGAAATCGAAAATTTTAAAAATGTTTCCATTTTTGCAAAAATGATAAGGGGTTACATCATTAAAATTGCCAAAAATTGGCAAAAAATTCAATTTTCTAAAATTAAAAACTGAGTATGCAGATTTATTAACCCAATAAAAACTAGCATAGGAAAGGTTTCCGAATTGAAATTAATGCATTTTTGGCTTAGTTATAAGTTTTTTTCAATTTGATCTTTAGGAAAAATTGGCATAAAAATATAAAAAAATACCTACTCAAAGAATGGGATTAAATTTTAAGCAATTTTAAATAGCAAAAATTTTTAACTGAGTATGCAGATTTGTTAACGTTGTAAAAACTAGCTCGGGACAGCTTTCCGATTTAAAATTAACGAATTTTTGACTTTATTATGAATTTTTTAAAATTTGATTTTTAGGAAAAATTGGGCAAAAAATTCAATTTTCTAAAATTAAAAACTGAGTATGCAGATTTATTAACCCAATAAAAACTAGCATAGGAAAGGTTTCCGAATTGAAATTAATGCATTTTTGGCTTAGTTATAAGTTTTTTTCAATTTGATCTTTAGGAAAAATTGGCATAAAAATATAAAAAAATACCTACTCAAAGAATGGGATTAAATTTTAAGTAATTTTAAATAGCAAAAATTTTTAACTGAGTATGCAGATTTGTTAACGTTGTAAAAACTAGCTCGGGACAGCTTTCCGATTTAAAATTAACGAATTTTTGACTTTATTATGAATTTTTTAAAATTTGATTTTTAGGAAAAATTGGCGTAAAAATAGATAAGATATGGTATTATAATTTTAGTCAGAAGCTTATAAAACAGTGAAGGAGTCATTTCCGACCCTATAAATCATATATATTCTTGATCAGGATCAGCAGCTGAGTCGATCTAGCCATGTCTGGAAGAAATCGAAAATTTTAAAAATGTTTCCATTTTTGCAAAAAATGATAAGGGGTTACATCATTAAAATTGCCAAAAATTGGCAAAAATTCAATTTTCTAAAATTAAAAACTGAGTATGCAGATTTATTAACCCAATAAAAACTAGCATAGGAAAGGTTTCCGAATTGAAATTAATGCATTTTTGGCTTAGTTATAAGTTTTTTTCAATTTGATCTTTAGGAAAATTGGCATAAAAATATAAAAAAAAATACCTACTCAAAGAATGGGATTAAATTTTAAGTAATTTTAAATAGCAAAAATTTTAAACTGAGTATGCAGATTTGTTAGCGTTGTAAAAACTAGCTCGGGACAGCTTTCCGATTTAAAATTAACGAATTTTTGACTTTATTATGAATTTTTTAAAATTTGATTTTTAGGAAAAATTGGCGTAAAAATAGATAAAATATGGTATTATAATTTTAGTCAGAAGCTTATAAAACAGTGAAGGAGTCATTTCCGACCCTATAAATCATATATATTCTTGATCAGGATCAGCAGCTGAGTCGATCTAGCCATGTCTGGAAGAAATCGAAAATTTTAAAAATGTTTCCATTTTTGCAAAAAATGATAAGGGGTTACATCATTAAAATTGCCAAAAATTGGCAAAAAATTCAATTTTCTAAAATTAAAAACTGAGTATGCAGATTTATTAACCCAATAAAAACTAGCATAGGAAAGGTTTCCGAATTGAAATTAATGCATTTTTGGCTTAGTTATAAGTTTTTTTCAATTTGATCTTTAGGAAAAATTGGCATAAAAATATAAAAAAAATACCTACTCAAAGAATGGGATTAAATTTTAAGCAATTTTAAATAGCAAAAATTTTTAACTGAGTATGCAGATTTGTTAACGTTGTAAAAACTAGCTCGGGACAGCTTTCCGATTTAAAATTAACGAATTTTTGACTTTATTATGAATTTTTTAAAATTTGATTTTTAGGAAAAATTGGGCAAAAAATTCAATTTTCTAAAATTAAAAACTGAGTATGCAGATTTATTAACCCAATAAAAACTAGCATAGGAAAGGTTTCCGAATTGAAATTAATGCATTTTTGGCTTAGTTATAAGTTTTTTTCAATTTGATCTTTAGGAAAAATTGGCATAAAAATATAAAAAAAATACCTACTCAAAGAATGGGATTAAATTTTAAGCAATTTTAAATAGCAAAAATTTTTAACTGAGTATGCAGATTTGTTAACGTTGTAAAAACTAGCTCGGGACAGCTTTCCGATTTAAAATTAACGAATTTTTGACTTTATTATGAATTTTTTAAAATTTGATTTTTAGGAAACATTGGCGTAAAAATAGATAAAATATGGTATTATAATTTTAGTCAGAAGCTTATAAAACAGTGAAGGAGTCATTTCCGACCCTATAAATCATATATATTCTTGATCAGCATCAACAGTCTGGAAGAAATCGAAAATTTTAAAAATGTTTCCATTTTTGCAAAAAATGATAAGGGGTTACATCATTAAAATTGCCAAAAATTGGCAAAAAATTCAATTTTCTAAAATTAAAAACTGAGTATGCAGATTTATTAACCCAATAAAAACTAGCGTAGGAAAGGTTTCCGAATTGAAATTAATGCATTTTTGGCTTAGTTATAAGTTTTTTTCAATTTGATCTTTAGGAAAAATTGGCATAAAAATATAAAAAAAAATACCTACTCAAAGAATGGGATTAAATTTTAAGTAATTTTAAATAGCAAAAATTTTTAACTGAGTATGCAGATTTGTAAACGTTGTAAAAACTAGCTCGGGACAGCTTTCCGATTTAAAATTAATGAATTTTTGACTTTATTATGAATTTTTTAAAATTTGATTTTTAGGAAAAATTGGCGTAAAAATAGATAAAATATGGTATTATAATTTTAGTCAGAAGCTTATAAAACAGTGAAGGAGTCATTTCCGACCCTATAAATCATATATATTCTTGATCAGCATCAACAGCTGAGTCGATCTAGCCATGTCTGGAAGAAATCGAAAATTTTAAAAATGTTTCCATTTTTGCAAAAAATGATAAGGGGTTACATCATTAAAATTGCCAAAAATTGGCAAAAAATTCAATTTTCTAAAATTAAAAACTGAGTATGCAGATTTATTAACCCAATAAAAACTAGCATAGGAAAGGTTTCCGAATTGAAATTAATGCATTTTTGGCTTAGTTATAAGTTTTTTTCAATTTGATCTTTAGGAAAAATTGGCATAAAAATATAAAAAAAAATACCTACTCAAAGAATGGGATTAAATTTTAAGTAATTTTAAATAGCAAAAATTTTAAACTGAGTATGCAGATTTGTTAGCGTTGTAAAAACTAGCTCGGGACAGCTTTCCGATTTAAAATTAACGAATTTTTGACTTTATTATGAATTTTTTAAAATTTGATTTTTAGGAAAAATTGGCGTAAAAATAGATAAAATATGGTATTATAATTTTAGTCAGAAGCTTATAAAACAGTGAAGGAGTCATTTCCGACCCTATATATATTCTTGATCAGCATCAACAGCTGAGTCGATCTAGCCATGTCTGGAAGAAATCGAAAATTTTGAAAAATGTTTCCATTTTTGCAAAAAATGATAAGGGGTTACATCATTAAAATTGCCAAAAATTGGCAAAAAATACAATTTTCTAAAATTTTAAACTGAGTATGCAGATTCATTAACCTCATAAAAACTAGCATGGGAATGGTTTCCGAATTGAAATTAATGCATTTTTGGCTTAGTTATAAGTTTTTTTCAATTTGATTTTTAGGAAAAATTGGCATGAAAATTTAAATTAATAACAAAACTGTATAGTTTAGCTTCTACCAGCCAGTTAAGCCTTTGATTTTATAGCTTAGCTTGAGGCACAGACACACTCGAAATACATAAATCACGAGGCATTTTCCTGAGGTTCTGTTCTGTGGGATGGCTTGCTTTTCCGGCTTTGAAACTCCTTCACAATGATTTATGTCAATCCGCCGCTCAGCCTCTCAAGACGCTTTTAATTATGAAAAATCTCTCACACTCGAATGAGTTACTCGACGGGAGGTCCCGTTTTGGGATTCCACATTTTTTTCAGACACCACTTGACACAGTTTATGGATCATTCTTTGCATAACAAAGGCTGGGCCCAAAAAAGGTCACAGGATGAACTGGAGAAAAACAGAAAAACAAATGGCCAAAGCAAACAACGGGTTTCAAGAGATTTTCCAGGAGATTTTTGATTTTTAATTTGCGCCAACGTCAGACCATCCTGGTAATTGAGTTTTCTGCGGACCCTGGGTCCTCGTGAATTTACTGCAGCGTTTTCCCCGACAGCCCCCAACCCGAATCCGAACCCCGAGTTGCGATGCGAAATGCTGGCTTAGCACAAACTCGACCAACAATTGGAGCATTTTTAATGCAGTGCTGCGTCCTCTGTCCTCTGTCCTTAGTCCTGTGTCCTCCTCGGTGTGTCATATTTTTTGTGTTTTTGGCAGCCGCAACGAAGCGTGTTCTCCAGCTGACCATAAAACGCTTGTCATCAGATATCGCAAGGCAGGGCTATAGATAGAACAGGATATAAATTGCGAACGCAACTTGCAATTTGGACTGCCGCGCGCGATACTGAAGCCAAGGATTTGGATTTGGATGGTTGATATTTCCGTTTGCTGAGACCGATTGATTTCAGCTTTATAACTATTTACAGAGGGAGAAATTTATGTATAACTTACATATTCAAATTTACAATGAGACTTTAGAATGGAAAAATAAGTAAGATTAATTCTAGGTATATCGTTCTTTAAATAAATATCAAAATAAAACTTATACTAATATATTAGATATATCATTACCTCTTGGAGTATTCCATTAAATTTATATGTGTAAAAATCCCAATTTCCTTAACAAGTCTACATTTTCTCTCCTTGTATGATGACCCTGCTCCTCGAGTTCCTGGAAAAGTTAATTGCAATGATGCAGCAAATGCTGGGATGGGGCCAAGTCAATTTACACACAGTAATGATCTTTGCATTTCGTTTTATTTGTTCGTATTGGATCACACTTAAATGAGAAACTTAGACTAAGAACTTGACAGTTTTGCAGAGCCATGCTCCGGGGGAGATGCATCCGGTGCAAATCGATTTTGCCTTCATTTTTCTTTTGCTTAAAATTTGGCCAACTCTAAAAGCGGGCTCCTCTGAAATCACAATGAAATTATAGTTAGCCAGTCCAGGGGGAGTTGGGACTGCCTTAGGAGCGCCGCCCCAAGCGCCTGAGGTGCCTCCTCCAGCTGCGCGGTCATCATAGCTGCTCGTTGCCAATGTGCGTGGTGTCCGTGGGCAGCGAATGGGTCTACGGGAAGGAGACGGTGGTCTGGGTTATCCAAGGCATTTGCGGATGCCCTGCACACTCCACAGGCACACTCACCTGCAGCGCCTTGCGCTTGTGGTGCATCGAGGAGTTCGATGAGGACTTGCCCTTGCCCTTCTTCCAGGAGCACAGGAGCAGCTCCTTCATGCCCTTGCGAAAATTGCGACTGAGGAAGGCGTAGAGCAGGGGATTTACGCCCGAATTGAAGTACGTGACCAGAAAGGTGAGCGGCGTTAGCAGCGCATTAAAATTGGAATCACCGCGATACGAACGTGACCTGCAAAGGCATATATAGGGGGACTATAATAACTATCTGGTTGTGTCTGTTCTGCGTATGCAAATGAGCATCTGTTGGCCAAACATTCGAATCGAGTTCAACATTCTGTGGTCTGTCCCGAAATAGAGATTACAGCCCTACTGGGTGGGTGAAGTTGATTCTAATGCTATTCCCCATTTCTCTAGAAAATGCTTGCTTTTCCGCTCTCTCAGTTTTCACTATGAAATTCATGAGCAAACCCCAAGGCTTTCCCCGGGGAAAATTACGCTAGTGGGCCATCATTAATTATGCAAGAAATGTACTGTCACACAAAGTGTGCTATATATTTAATTAGAAATCCACTTCAATTCAATTCCCCTCGCGGACTGCGCAACTCTTTCGATCCGGATTCCATTCAGCTGTTGCCCGGCTCAAGTCTCCCTGGAATGCAGGAGGTGCGAACTTTTTTGTCCACCTGCCGCCCAGGTGATTAAGCTACTGTTGGTAGTATTGTTTGCCTGGCCATTCGGTCAGGAGCCAAAGGCCACTCGAAAAGTTGCCTAATGGAGCGGGGAATTTGGCCAAGAGCAAAGTTTTTCGCCGCCTGCAAGTATGCAACATAAACTTTGACCAAAAACTTTGCCTTGCAGGGTAATATTTAAAGCAGCAGGAAGACAGAGATGTTGCTTGATATTTTTTTCAACAATTTCCACTCGAAGAGTTCAAGGGTATCATGGAGTTAGGTTTTTGCAATAAAAAAGTGGAAATTGCTTTAAGATTTTAAGGCTTGAAATGCAAGAAAACAAATTTAAAAGGAGTTAAATTTGTTGGTTAAAATTTCACTACGTTTCAATAGTTTTTAAATACCTTTTCTGTCAGCTAAAGGCTTTCTAATAAATCGTTATAAAAACTACCGGATATCCTTTCTTCGAGGCGCTCATCCTGTCATGTTTCTCTCTCCTCTCTCTTCTTTGAATAGATGCTAAAAACTTTGAGGCAACTCCAAAATGTCCTGGAGTTGTTGCTCGTTGAGAATTCGGCTTGCACTTGCAAGTGGCCAAGTCCACGAGAAGAGTTGGCTAACTGATTGGGCCACTCGAGTGGCCTTCGCTTTGTTTTCGCCGCTGCTTGAGTCCTGGAGTGGCCTTTTGCCAACAGTTCTCGTTCCCTTCCTGCACATTCTCCCCCGTCCTGACCAAGTTTAGATGCCAAACCGAATCGGGGACATCACATTAAAGGCGCCCGCAACGCCATGGGGTGGCCACCATTTGCCGACCCTGGATCGTGACCGTCTTCCGGCTGAGTCTAATGAGTCGCAGTTGGCGACTGCTGGCAGTTGTTATCGTTATCACCGCACTGGCCCCTGGGTCCGGAGACGGGGAGTCAGTAATGAGCACGTGCCACGGAAGCCTCCGTCGAGGGGAAGGTAATCCAATTGTCAGCGCGTGGCAATTACTCGGTCGTGTTCGCCTTGAGTAGCAATGACAGTTATCATTTGATGATTATGCCTCTGCTATATTTAGCATCTATACTAGAGAAAGTCCTGTAGAAAAATTAAGCTAAGAGCTAACCCATTTTTCAGCCAGCCAGCTATTTGATTAATTACTCGAGGGGACCTCTTCCCCACTGAACCAGCTATTTATCTTTGTTAGAAGGTGAGATACTGAGAGTTTTCTACTTTGTGTTGAAAACAATAATTAAATAGCTTGCCACAGATTTGCCATGTTTGCAGTTTGCTAGGAAAATAGCTGCAACAAACGATAAATGTTTTGATTTGATTTTTGGACAAAATAAAAGTATTTTCCTCACAGAGCCATAATTGAGATTTATATTTGACTTGTTGTTTACTTGTCCAGCTCTCCGGTTTTCATTTATTCATACAAATTGACCTTTGGCCAACCTGAAACCCGGGAAAATTGTCATAGGACCTCCTCTCCACCACTCACTCTCCTCTCCCACATGTCCATAATCTCCCACAGAATGGCCACGTTAAGCCGGACCATTCCCACTCAGCCGGAACACAAAGAAAACAAGCCAAACATAAAAATAAGAGAAAAGTCTCCGTTGTCGCATTGAATTAAAGGAATTTTTTTAAAACCTTTTGAATCTTTTATTAAGCCATTTGTCATATGAGTCTTTATGTGTATGTATACGAATGCGTTTGGCCAATTTAATTCGGATTTTTTCCCTTTCGAACTGCCCTTTTATGTGCCGTAATTGTGGCTAATGGAATTCTTGACATCAGAGATTCTCTAAAATAAAAGTGTAATTAAGAAGAGTGTGTATGGGACGATGCCCGATGAATGCCTGTTCGCATTGGTTTTTATCCTTTGATTTAATCTGGCACTAAACTTTTGATCTGTTTTTGTAACCATTCTTTTTCATAGAAACAAAATTACAAAGGGCTTATCTGGTTATATCATATAAGAGAGCCTTTTTAAAACGCCTCTGATGGGATAAAGCAAAACTGACAATGTATTTGATTTTTAGGAAAAATATTTATAAATAACTACACAAAGAATGGGATAATAATTTTTGTCATTTCCATTTACAAAAATTTTTTTCTGAGTATGCAGATTTGTTAACTTGATAAAAACTAGATCGGAATTAAAATTTTTTTTGTTATGAATTTTTTAAAATTTGATTTTTAGCAAAAATTGGCATAAAAATAGATAAAAATATGGTATTAAAATTTTAGTCAGAAGCTTATAAATCAGTGAAAAATCATATATATTCTTGATCAGCATCAACATCTGAATCGATCTAGGCATGTCTGGAAGATATCGAAATTTTTAAACATGTTTCCATTTTTGCAAAAAAAAATAAAAGGGTTACATCATTAAAATTTCTGCAGATTTATTAACCTCATAAAAACTAGCATTGGGATGGTTTCCTAATTAAAATTAATGATTTTTTAGCTTAGTTATGAAATTTTGAAAACTTTGATTTATCCAAAAAATAACCAATGGATATGATCCTATAATTCAATTGCAAACTAGAATGGTATATAAACTTCAGCTACCCGTAGTTAGTTTCCCTTTCTGTTTTTAATTTATAATGTAATAGGAAAATATATTTACAGCTTTGCAATTTTCTACCCTGAAAACGTATTCCTTCCCCGCTGTGGCTGTAATCAGCTATTAAGCTTAACCAAGGAGCAATTATCTCCCTTTCGTTGGCAAACAGCACTGCCACCGCCCAGGCAATTGGGAGAGACCGCCCACGTATTAACCCAACAGAGGCTCCACCGACCAAAGCTTCCGATTTGGGAGAAAATTTCGCCCACTTTTGAATGCCTTTCCGGAAGCGGAACTGCCGGCTGAAAAGGGAAAGGGAAAGTCGAGCTGGACCTTTGTTGGCGCACCTTTCAAAGGCCACGATAAATGGGGAATCTTACGCAAGCGGATTGGTTTTCGGGGAATGGAAACGGTAATGGAGATGGGGCTGGGAATCGGGTTGGAGATCGAGTGTTTTAAAATCGATTTAGCCCGAGGAAATTGGCAAATGAGGGTAAAGCCGGCAGTTTGCAAGGAATCCCAATTGATGACTTAATTGTTTACCAGCCTCGATTCCGGCAGGAAGCTATCTCGGCTTTATCAGAGAACTCGCAGATGTTAATTTCCACTGACTATCGGCGGAATATGCAAATATGCCTGCAGTATAAAATATTGTTTGTGCCGCAGTCAGGATGGAGTGATGAATGCCGCCATTGAGGTGACTGTGCACTTGGAAAAATAAATCTATAAAATGTATGTAGCATTTTAAAAAGCGGTTTAGCAAAGTAAGTTGTTAAGGAATTAATTGATTGTATTTTTAAGATAAAGTCTGGAAATCAATAAGATATTTGAAGCCCCCTAAAAGTGCGTCAAGAACGTAGGGACTTCTTTAGCACCACCGATTTTGTAGCCTTTGCAAACACATTAAAACTGACTTAAATATAATCAACAAAAAGTCAGGACCCATACCCGCTTATTCCAAATCATTTTCCCATTTCCACACCTTTAGTAAACCCCACTTTTTCTCTAAGTGTACTAGATATACTCACCAGTATTGCCACATTTTGCGGGCGTGATACGGTAGATTGCACAGGGCGAATGTCAGCACGAATATTATCAACATGCGAACGACACCGCGTCGGGCGCGAAGGACATTGCTGGACGAGTGGGACATGTGGGTGGCTCCTGCGACGCTCACCCCACTGCCACCGCCCCCACCGACATTGCCCAGCCGCTGATGATGGGCGTGGGAGTGATGGTAGAAGCTCGTCTTCCGGCAGGCACTCACAATGGGTCGATCGGCCTCCAGGGACACCTGCATAGAGTAACATGGGAAATGGCATTAGGTGCGACCCAAGAGACACAGATGGATGGAGCGTTAAACTATTGATTAAGGACTCGGCGGTGATACCTACCTTGCAATTATCAAGCTTATTTGGTGTTGTGTTGTGTGTTGTTGTGGTGGATAATTGTTGGATTGGTTAGTAGAGAAGGAGGAACCAAACGTTGTGTTATTACAGATCGAAACGAAGTCAAAGAGAGAGAGAAAAAAGTTCAACAGAAAGATAGTTAAATAGTTATTCGTGGATACGAGGGGGCATATAGGGAGGGGTTTTACATAAATTCATAGATTAAATTAAATTAGTTTTTGTGTTTACTGTGCTGTTCTTAAATATATTGAATACTCCATTTGATCTATATTTCATTCAAAATATAGTTGGCAAAGAAATGCTGCTTGCTGTTGGAATATTTCAATTGAATATCTCCGAAACTCTATTGATTCCATGTCTCAAACTAATCATGATCGATGCCCAATGTTTGAGTGGGTAATCTTTTACTCTATTTCATTTTCCTGTCCGAAGATGCAATTGAGCTTGCAGGTGCAGGGCAAAGCTCCTGTCAGACGCTCAATAAAAATGAGAAAAATAACGTATACGCCATGGTGTCCGGCTACCAATAATGGCAAAATATTTTTACGATAACTTTTGCCCTCTCACTTGCAGCTCTTTGGTTTTTATTTGTTCTCAAAGCAGCTGTCAGGCCACTAGCCATCCGCTGTTGTGGCCAGTTCGGAGATGGCCTTAATGTGCATTGACACCTGCTCCAGAGAGCTGACCGAGCCACTTGGCCCGCAAAGTTGCCAGGACCAAGTTTTTACGACTGGGTGATTTCTCAAACCTATTACTGGGCTGCTGCTGCTGCTGGGCTACTTTGTATCTAATAAATTAGAGGCGGAATATGGCTGAATCGATGACAGTTTCCTGAAACATTACAGCCAGGCTTTTTGGTGATTTAGAACCTGTACCATGTCCCAACGAAAAACAGAGTTTAAATGGCCTGGGCCTCATTGAAAGCAATTAGGGAACAAAGCTTTGGCGCCGCTTTTTGCATATTTACGAGGATATTAACAGGGTTAAACTATTCGCGGGTGCTGGTTTACACTGGGAAATTTATAACTTATTTAAATTCTTTTATAAAAATGTCGAAAATTAAATTCTTGTGCTTTAATGTACTTTAACTTTATATATCTATAGAAAATTAAATATCATTACCCACTAATAGATCAAAATAAACCCACTTATATCTCGATTATCATAAAATAGTAATATTTTCCTAAAGTGCATTGCTTTTAAAATATTTTTCGCGACCTTCTTGACTTTCTCCATTTTGTTTTCTTTTTTTTTACCCATTCAGGAGCATTGTTTTCGCGGAAACTCACCTGACTCTCTGTGATGCTGACGCCACGCTTCTCATATTTACTGCTCTGTTTACGTGACAAGGACGTAGTGCTGCTGCCGGCGGAAGCGAGTGACGAGCCAGGACCGGCAGCTCCTCCTCCTCCTCCAGCTCCTCCTCCTCCAGTTCCTCCTCCTATGCCACCACCGGCACCAGCTCCCGCTGTGGATGCCACCGCCGATGACAGCTGGTGGTGCTGGTGCGGATTCATGTGGTGATGGTGATGGTGGTGCTGATGATGGTACATGCTGTTGTGCAGACCCATGCCATTGTCCTGGCCAGATTGTCCTGACTGCACCTGCTGATGCTGATTCTGATGATGATGTTGTGCCACATGTGGCGTGAGGCCGCGCGAACTGCGCCACAAAGCGATGGCGATTTTGCTGTAAAGGACCTGCAAATTCAAACGCAATCGAAATGATGTCATTAAACCGTATTCAACACAAAACAAACTAACTAGCTCTTAAAGTGTCTTAAATTGTAGTAAAAAGTTAGGTAAAAATATTCATTAAATTATAAATGATATAATAAAGACATTTTACCCACCGTCATCACCAGCAACGGCATCACATAGAGCAGCACAAAGTTAATCATGTCCAGCAGCTTGGAGTTGAACATCTCGCGGTCCAGGACACAGATCTCCTCCTCCTGACCATCCTGGGTGTGAATATTCTTGATGGTCTTGCTAAAGACAAACTTGGGCGTCGAATAAACCGCCGATGTGATCCACACGGTGACAATGACCATCTGCAAGAGACAAGCAGTCAAGTTTGTTTTCTCCTCCACCAAAAACACACGCAAATAATTTGTTAAATGTCATTTGAACACACAAAATTTGCATGTTAATGGATGTCCCATTTCGTTGTCTTTATGTCTCTTGTAGTTTAATTAGGACCATTGGCATTAACAAAACGCATTTTTAGTTTACCAAATTGTTTCATTTTGTCTGCTGGTGAAAGTGTGTGTCTTTGGGGTTGGGTTTCTCCCGAAAAAGTTTTCGCAGCCACAAAGTCATGCCCACGGCTTATTAAGCCTTTCGGGTGGCATTATTATATAAACATATATATATTCTCGTTCTTTTTTTCTCTGTGGGTGCGTGCTGGCTTTAATAAGTTTCATTAGCTTGCAAATTGTGGTTAAAATGAGTTATCAAAGTTGTGAAAACGAGCTCACCAAATTGAATGGAAAAGCAACAGAAAAAGGACTACTAAAAATAGATACTCCCTGAGGCTTAACGAGTTTGAAAATTGCCTAATTCAAATGCCAACTAAATTTAGTATATATTTTATTTTGCATAAATTAAAACTCACCCTTAGACGAGCTGCTGTAAGGATCTGCTTGCAGGTAATGGGGTGCACGATGGCAAAGTATCGCTCCATGCAAATGACGACTAGGATGAAAATCGAGGCCGTGTAGCTCAGGGAGTGCACAAACTGATACATGCGGCACAGGAATTCGCCAAAGACCCAGCTGGAAAAGGGGGGGAAAACCGAAACACGATGGTATTAATAATTATTTATGGCCAAAAGTTTCGCTCTTTAAAGAGTCACTGCTCCTCTCCTCTAGTTGGCTCGAGGCGTTCGAGCAGAATTTAGGGCCAGACGACACATAAAATTTTATGACACGCTCACGAAACTAATGCGACATTAAGGTGTCGTTAGTATTTTATGTGGCGAAAAGCTTTCTCTCCCTTTTTTATTATATTTTTCTGGCTAAAATTTCATTGGAAAATGGAGTTTCGGCGACGAGGAGGCGTTCGCCGACGGATCATTGTATTTTGGGATTAGCACGTAATTCTATTTGTGAGCGGCTTCTTTGGGGACAAAATGTGAGTATAATACGAGGAAATTGTGATGGTTTTGTGGTTTGATTGTCGCTGCCATTTCAGCCAATTTAGGGTCCTCAAAATTATTGCCAGGTGAGAGTGTAAGGTATGGCTTAAGGCCTTTTAAGAAAGGATTTCAAGCCTCTTTAATATATTTTTTGACAGTTTTACAAGACTCTTCATCATTCCCAAAATGAAGTTAAAGTGCTTCAAGTAAATTTATCATTTTAATTTAGTTAAAACCATTTTAAGACCTCTCTTTATATTTATGATTGGGCTAAAATTCTGGTTTTCGTTAACCCAAAAGTAAATAACTTGGTAGACCAGACAAATATTCATTTTGGGCATAATTTGTGGAGATTTTCCCCAAAATCTTTCTCACTTTGCATATGTTCTGGGCGCCGCCATGAACTTGTGCGCATAATTTTGATCAAATTATGCCAAGCACATATTGGCCAGTTCTCCATTAGGCTTTTAATATGGTGATTTTCGACCATAATAATCTTTCCCTTGTTAGAAAATTAAATTGGGAAAATGCAAACATTTGGCTAGCCAACAATCCAATAGAAAAAGTAAAGCAATATTATTGCAGGATTTTTGAGTAAATAAAATGATTTCATTGTCGAAATACTGATTGTTTGAATCTATTTTTAATTGAACAATTTCTTAGTACTAAATTCTTCAAACGCTCTAAATCATTTTTATTTTCCTGAATATATACACGTATCTCGCTTCTCTCAGCTTATTATGAATATATTTCTTGGTGAGTAATAAGTACGAAACTATGGATGACTGCATATATTTGCAAAATTACATTTAGTTTATGCTTGACTTAATTATAGTTTTAAACTTTATTTACTTGTGTGCAAAATACCATGAAACAGAAGGCATTTTTGAATATAAATATATAATGACTTGGAAAATGTTAGGAACACATTTTGTATATTTTTCTATACAAAAAATATTATTTTTATTATTAATTTGAATGACGAAAATAAATAAATATGTATATTGCATATATCTAGAGCAGGTTTTCGACTACATTTGCTAAATTTTGTTAAATATATTCCTGTTGTATATGCATATATAATAATATTTGCATTATAATAAACTAAATCGATGGGAAATCGCAATTTATATACCCTTGCAGAGAAAATCCATCACAAAAATGAATAAATTATTGATGTTTCATATTTTTCTTTATATGATTTTTACTTTAAGCTAACCTGAAATGTACATTCCTTTTTTCGGAATTCATAATGCACAAAAAAAAGAGTATTTACGACAAGTATTTCTATTCCGAGGGCTTCTTCCTTGAGCCGATGATGAGGCTGCACATTTGCAGGATTACTACTACGGACTCGTCCTGTTGGGAAAACTTTCTGCATAACCCTTGTGCACATATCATTGTCGGAATTTCCATGCTTTGCTCTTCAATTTTTGTTACGCTGCTGTTTGCCTCAGTTTCATTCATTGCGCTTTTTATTTGTGCACGTCGCGCAACGTGTTTCTAGGGAAGGTAGAAAAAGCAATGCAAATAAACACGGCGGCCAGGTGTCAACGGTGGGGGGAGGGGGGAAGGGGGAATAAAGAGCGGAAAAGCGGAAAATGCACACGTGAAAGTGTCGCCTGTGGGGCTGAGAATTTTCCCCCTCCGTTTTGTGGCTGGATGCTGTTAATGTTTTGCCGAGTTGAAAACTGAAACTTTTGTGCTGCATTCTTTTGGTCGCACCCAGAGCCTGACAGGTATATGTCAGCCTTTGAATAATAAAAAGCAGCCGAAAAATTAATCTTCTTTTTTTGTATGACTACATAATACCCTCTTTGAAAAAAGGGCGAATAACTAAGACAAGTTTTTTGATTTGCAACAAATAACAGCAAAGTTGTAGGGTCTTTTTTGAATAGATTTCAGGGCTTTGATAACTTTAAATAGTTTTCTAAACATGGGATCTTATTCCTTTATAAACAGTTACATAAAACCTTTTTAAAACAATACAAATTAACAATTAAATTTAAAACAAATATTCACTTTATAAGCTCTATTAAATGCTAACAAAAAGTCGTTCGACCCTTTCCCTAGTATGCCTCTGAAATTGTTTTACGCTTCACTGGCATTGTTCACCTCCACTCGTGCATAATGGAACATTAATTTAAGACAGAATCAACTAGGGACTCCCCGTTTTCCACTTACCTATCTATGAGATAGATGGACAGGTTCTGCATCACACAGAAGAGTCCCACACAGAAGTCCGCGAAGGCGAGATTGGCCAAGAAGAAGTTCGTGATGGAGCGCAGTCGTCGGGACAAGGTGACCACCAAAATGACAAGAAGGTTGCCTGCAAATAAAAAACATAAGGGAATGAGAGTGCAGCGGCTACAAGATGACAGATGCTGGAAGAGATGTACCACAAATTATGGGCATTTTATTTTACTTTTCAGCCTTGTCAGTGGCACTCATTGCCACGCGAACTGGGCGAGATATTAAAAATGTTAACAAAATATTTGGACCACGAACTTGGCAGTTGGCAAACAGTCCGATGGCAAGAGAAGGGTCTTTTACTTTTGCGGCCTAAACTTTTCACAGAATTTACTAACTTTTGTGGTATTCTGTCGGCAATTTATTGTATTTATTTAAGTTGCAAGTGAAAACTGGAGCAGTACCCATGGCTTCCAATAAATATATTTTATTTTAAATAATATTTTTGAGTTAGGTAAGAAGTTCCAACTACCTTACAAATTTGTGTATTGTAGGTATATTAAATCAATCATCAATATTATAACTAAGCCAAAAAAGCATAAGTTCCCATTAACTATGATCAGTAAGGATTTAAAATGAATAAGTATCAATGAACATTAAGTAACTCTGATCAGTTAGTATCAATGGCTAACTTTGAACACTAATAAACAATGACTTGCAACTTTTGTAACACAACACATTTCTGACTCTTGTCCGGCAGAAGACACTTCGTTCCGGGGATGTTAGAACAAGTTGGGAATTATATGATATGAAGTTAAACTATGAACACTAAGTATCTATGACCAGTAAGTATCTATGACCACTAATTAATTCTGAACAGTTATTATTTATGAGCAGTAATTAACTTTGACCAGTAAGTATCAATGAACGTTAGTAACTCTGATCAGGAAGTATCTATGAGCAGCAAGTAACTCTGAACAGTATGTATGTATGATCAGTTACAACTTTGAACACTAATAAACAATGACTTGCAACTTTTGTAACACAACACATTTCTGACTCTTGTCCGGCAGAAGACACTTCGTTCCGGGGATGTTAGAACAAGTTGGGAATCATATGATATGAAGTTAAACTATGAACACTAAGTATCTTTGACCAGTAATTAGCTCTGAACAGTAGGTATCTATGACCAGTAATTAACTCTGAACAGTTAGTATTTATTACCAGTAATTAACTATGATCAGTAAGTATCAATGAACGTTAAGTAACTCTGATCAGGAAGTATCTATGAGCAGCAAGTAACTCTGAACAGTAAGTATGTATGATCAGTTACTAACTTTGAACTCTAATAAACAATGACTTGCAACTTTTGTAACACAACACATTTCTAAAACTTGGCCGGCAGAAGACACTTCGTTCCGGGGATGTTAGAACAAGTTGGGAATCAGATGATATGAAGTTAAACTATGAACACTAAGTATCTATGACCACTAATTAACTCTGAACAGTTATTATTTATGACCAGTAATTAACTATGACCAGTAAGTATCAATGAACGTTAAGTAACTCTGATCAGGAAGTATCTATGAGCAGCAAGTAACTCTGAACAGTATGTATGTATGATCAGTTACTAACTTTGAACTCTAATAAACAATGACTTGCAACTTTTGTAACACAACACATTTCTGGGACATGGCCGGCAGAAGCCACTTCGTTCCGGGGATGTTAGAACCAGTTGGGAATCATTTGCATGTGCGAGATTTGTTTTGGAACAAATTTAAGAGCAAGCTATTTGAATAAAACTATGAAGTTATTCTTCTACATAATTTTACTAATATATAAGTCGGAGCATGGCGAATTGGTGGACTATAAATATATATATAGATAGCTTCCTTCCTTGTTTATTCCAATTTTTCCAGAAAATCTAATTTAAAAAAACTCATAAACAAACCAAAAATGCATTAATTTTAATTCGGAAACCTTTCATACCCAAAAGGATTTAAAAATTGGCCCAAGTGCAGCATTCTTACTTGTTTAACTTACTAATTATAAAGTGATGAATGTTAAGACTAGCTATAATTACCCTCTGGGCTCTAAACTAAGACCCAATCAAATATTTAAATTTAACTCTTAAAGACTAATCTAATTTCCTCGCTAATTCCATTTCAAATTAAATTTCACACGAACTGGAATTCAGAGGAAAACCTCGATTACCCCGAAATTTAGAAACCGCAATGAATGGCAATCGGTAGCAAATACATGTATTACATTCGCCAACGCATTTGACCAAGGGTTGTGGCCTGGCCGAAAGCCTCCTTTGGTGGGTTAAAGCCATAAATGGCCTTTGTGGTCAAAGATGCACTTTAAAGCTCAACTGGCTGGGCTTCCGAGCTCTAATATAATTTGCATTTATAAAAGGAAAGTGCATGGCTTGACAATTTTCGGGCTCAACAATGTTAAACCAAATTAATTAACTAGTTTGAAATATATTCAGCACAAATGAAGTAAGTGAAGGCCCATTTTGAACCAACGAAAGGGAATTTAATTAAAAGCAAAGACTTAACTAACAATGAACTAACTAACATTAAACTACCCATCACTCTCCTTGAATAATATAAATTTTAATATAAAGACCTTCGTTTTATAATTAATTTAAATATGTTTTCATATTATCTTGCATGTAAATAATTTATTCAGTTGACAAAGTTTAATCTAGGTCTTATTTAAATGTAAATAAATTTCGCAATCTGAATTTTAAATTTACATTTCAATTCAAAGAAACAAAAACCCTTTTTTGCATTTAATAATTTTAAAATCGATGTCACCGGTAAATGCCCAACAAATAATAGAATTCAGTTTTCAATATGCACCACCATAATTTTACAGGCACCAGAGTGTCCTGTAATTTGTATTGCAGTTCAAGTTCTGAACAATGCAATGGTGCCGGCATACAAACATACGTATATATATTCTCTCACATGGCAAGCAAATGTCAGGAAAAACTTTTTTAATTACACTCGATAGGCAGAGTAATGTAGGGAGGGAAAAAAAACAATAAAAGGGAAACAAAAGCCGAGCCGGAGAGCTGCCAAAAAATACCCAGAACGTGCGAAACTTCAAGGCGTGCTCTGAAATCGGATATTAAGGAGGAAGAGGAGCACTGCAGCAGGATTTCAAAAATACAAAAGTATAGAGCGGAAGGCCAAAAGTTGGCATGTCCTATATACATAAAAATGTATATATATTAAGAGTGCATACGGATGTCCATATGTGAGTAGAGAGTTTTTCTTTTTCATTGTTATATTTCCTTTCGTTGCTCTTGGAGTAACAAGGAGAACAAGGAGTTTGAAGACCTTTTTCCCTTGGAAAATGAGTAAATATATACTTATATTTATCAATTAATAAAATATCTTAATAAAAACCTATACTTTTAAAGACTTTCCTCTGTTTAAATTACTTTGAAAGTACACCCATAAGATTTATTTCGCAATTAGTGAACTTTATCATCTGTTTCCCCCCTAGGTACACGCACTAATGCTAATGTTAATGCCACGGTCTACAAAAAATAAAGGACAACAATAAAGTCAGTTGTTCCCAATGGCAAACAGACATTCTGAACGTGACTGCAACATGCAAATTTTGTGGGCGAATGTGGGGAAAATTGTACCCAACAACGCCCACCAAACAATTTCCAACTGTCCTGGCAAATAACTTGCTTACATTTTGCAATTGTCTGCGCAAATGCCCGACCAGCCACGCCCCTTCGCCTCTTTCTGTACCTAATGGGCGCCCATTTGTCGCCATTTGGTATGGCGAATACACATGTTCCTCTCTTTGTTCTGAGTGCGGCTAATAAAGCCTACAACTGACGGCTCTCGAAATGGGTCCAAAAACAACAGAATGGCATACGGACGCCAGCATCCTCCAAGTGTTCGATTGAACGACATAATTGATTCTGAAAAGACGAAGGGACATTCCATATTTATGTGTCTGCACTTAAGCTTTTGCTAAAACAAGTGGTTAATTACCTAATGATTGGTATCAATTAAATGCTTGGCTTTTATTATGCGACACAGCATACGGGGCGTATGCGTAATGCTGAGAGAGTCAATGTCAATTTCGGGCTATTTGCGATGAGAGTTGTTTAGTAGTTTTAATAACAAATTATTTTTCCTAGCTAAATAATATTAATGTTAACTAAATTTCTATATAAAACTATACATTCTCAACTTTAAGCTACCGAAAATCACCACAAAAGCCACAAATTCAATGTTCCGCAAACAAAGAAGCCGCAGAAGAGCTTTCAAGGTCTTTAATATGGGACTCCGCAGACAGGACAAAAAAAAGGACAGCATAAACCGAACAGCAGGGCATTGAGTAATTGGCAAGTCAGCAGTAAATTCTGTGAGGTCCTGATAAAGGGGCACTCGCCGGACATTAGCACGCGCCCGGGTCGAGGCAGGATGTTGCTGTTGCTGCTGCTCCTGACCATGGGACACCACCGCAAACGGCCTGTGGCAGTCGCTTTGCCCCAATAGCTCTCATGCATGTTTCTCTGGCCTTTGTGGTGCCCCATCATCTCTTGCGAAACTCTCTACTACATGCCGCACAATCAAACACAATTCCGAGGCCATCCCTGATTAATGAATATGAAAAGTGCGTAAAAAGTTACGGAAAAAGGAACTTCATAGGAATAAAGACTCATGAAGAGAGCTAAAATACTCTATTTGGATGCTTTATGTTTTGGGTTTATCTGAACAAATGTTAGAGGAGTTATCGATATTAATTTATGTAAATTATATAAATATTTCCTAACCCATTTTATATGTTAAAAGATCAACAATTTGTTACAGATAATGTCTAGCAAACTTAAAAGTTTCTTTTAGGAAGAGAATAAAATATATTCCAAGAAAAACCTCTATGTATTAATACCCATAATATTCCCAGATTTATTCAGATTATAATGAAATGTTTGTACTTACCAAAGAAGCAGCAGCAAAACACTATAGTATACAGGGTAATGAATACAATGCGCACTTCGAGGCGATCAAAGATATATTCGCTGGCATGCTCGGCATCCTCCTCATCCTCGACTTCCACCTCCAATCCGGCATTGGCTTTGGCATCGGTGCCAATACCCGAGAGTCCCGTGGTTTGGGCTGGAACCAGGGCCGTGGTGGTGGTGGTGGAGTCACCATAGAGTAATGCGTAATCGGTGCCACTCCCATTGATGGACGGACTCGATGTGGTGGTGGTGCTGCTGCTACTCCTGCTGCTGGTGGTTGAGTCTGTGGCACAGGCCGTCAGTGTGGCAGTCAGGAGCAACAGAAGCACAACCAGCCAGCGAGGGGGTCTCATGGTGGGGAATCTTGTTCCCCATAATCCGGCGGGTATGAGTGGGTGTGCCTCCCGCTGTCGTAATACGGAAGTGCTAAAATTCAAAGGACTACTTCGGCTGGCGTTGTTTTGATTATGCGCTTCCCCGTGGTTGGCCTCGTCATTAACGTGGCTATCGTTGTTATCGTCGTAAGCCGCTGATATGTTTGCCCTGTCATTCTGCCTTCGTTGTTTATGTTGTTCTGGCCGGTGCCGTTGCCGCTGTCTCTGACTTTGCTCCACCACTTCCGTTTCCTGTGGCCAGGACTTTGATGTCGTCATCATCATCATCATCATCGTCGTCGTCGTTGTTGGTGTGTGCCCTCTGCTCCTCATGCCACTAAAAATGGGTGCAGCTGCAATGAGAACAAGTCATAGTTAGTTTGGTGAAGAAGTTACTAAGGTGTTTTAGAAAATTGCTGGGAAAAGTAATAAGTAATTTATTAAGTCTATATGTTATACTATTTAATAGTTTTTAATAAATTTACAGGCACCAAAGTTTGTGTTTTAATAAGATTTATATAACAACTTACACTTAAATGAAGCTTGAATTTATAGGGCAAACTTTAAAGCATTTTTAACATATTTCCCTCTTTCATTTTCTGTCACTCATATTAAACTTTAACTTTAATCTTACCTATTGAATCATTTTACACCTACTTATACTGCAATTTAAGATTTTTCCAATCAATAGTGTCTACCCAGAGATGAAGACTTCAATTCATTAACTGCAAAGTCACGTTCCATGAGCTCACTTTAAGGCGTGGCAATTAAACTTGTCCTGAACCTGGTGACATCCTGTGCTACCGCCCACGAATACTCTTGCTCCTTCTCCTGCTCATGTTTGCTCGAGTCCTCAAGTGGACTTTTTAATTAAGCCGCCTTTAATAATGAGCATAATTAAAACATTTGTCTGCGAACATGAACGCTCGCATCGTGACCAAAAAAGAAATTATGATTTGCCGGGGTTCCCCTTGATTTCTCACTCTTCTCCATCACTTTCTCCCCCTGTCTAGCTCTTACCCAGTAATTAAAGGGCTCGAGGGTTTATTGTGTTAGTACAAGTGTTTGTAAAAGGGAGATGTTGGAGTTCTTGATAATTTCATCTCGATTAGCATGGTTTACCCCGCCTTTTCTGTATTTAAAAACATTTAAAATTAAATGGAAACTTGAGTATATTTTCAAGCTGTCTCATTTATGCTTCTTTTCTTGTTTTAATATGCACTACGTTATGTTGCTAATTACGCGAGTGCAGTTGGCAATTTCATTCGCATTCGCATTCGCATTTGCAGACGCCTTCTCCTCGCGCCTCCTCGCTGCTTTGATTATTGCTCTCAATGTTTGTGTACGTGCTCTAATTAATAGAGACTCGAATGCAAACACACACAAAAACACACACAGATTGCGTCAAACATAGGCAAACAAAATGACAGTCAAGTAATTAACACTACTGAATCGCATCGGCCAGAGATATTAGTATTATAAACTTGCCACAGTGAGACATGATGCGTATCTTGTACGCCATATAAATATCTATAGTGCCCACTGTAATGAGAGTGTGGGAAGGAAAACTTCTTTGTGGAATGACAACTGTTGTTGGCATTTAAATGTCAAAGCGGCCATCAATGGGAAAAACTTCTCTGACAGTTTAATTGGCAACTGGGAATGTTGAGAAAACAAATAAATTCAGTTTAATGCCTTGCAAAGTTTATAACTTTAACGATTACGGGAGGCTATAATCTGGCAGGAATACACTGGCAATAATAATAAATACAATTCTATAATTGACTACTAAATAGGTGACATTTCAGGGGTATAACTAGATAAACAATATATAATATATCAATCCAAAGTCCTGCTAAGTAACTCCAATCACTCAAAATATCCCAGTAATTCCCACCTTTGAGCAATCAAATAAAAACTCATAATCGTCAGTCAAAGTTTCTCAATGAGAAATATGCCCTATTAAAGGCAATAATGTGAGGAACATAAGTAAGTACTGGCCTTTGTGAGAAACCCGGCAGTAAAAGGAAATCCAAACAATGCGGAAAAGTGCGACCCTTCAGAAACACAAAGCCAAAGGCTGAATGCTCAAGGCAAAAGTTTCCATTTCCATAATGTGGGTCAAACTGCAGGGAGCAGTTATTGCAGAAAGCTCTCAACTGGCGAAAATTATTATTAATGAGCCTGACAACCAGAGGATTTACTGTGCCAATGCAATCGATGGAAAATTATTCGGTAATTTTAAGCTGACCAAAGGGAGAAGCAGTAAATTTCCACTCTTACAAAAGACAAATATTTTAAGGATTCTTTAATTAAAAATCCATTTCAAGCTTGTAATGTTGAATCACAATCCCTTTCCATCTTTAAAACCCTTTTATTTTTTAAACCAATATCACCTCGAATGAGCTGCAGTTACTTTAGTCAAACCTTGTCATTGCAGCAGACCTGACAACAACCCACTGCCACTGATGTCAAATGCAGATATCTGTGCCAGGACAGGTAACACATGAACTTACACCTGAACAAACACCTATTTGTAGAGCCACCACCCCCAGCAGGCACAAGGATTGCTTATCCTTCCATTTTGCTGCAGGAAATGTGTAGATGCAGATGCAGATGCAGATGCAGAGGTGGCTCCCAACACCGGGATTAGTTTGCGTTTAAGTGATATTACATGCTCCTTGAGACCGTGTCATCGTCAGCTACTAAAAGTAGTGTAAGGCATGAATTCACCATGGAACATATCCTGCCTGCCTGGTTATCAATTTAGTTTTCCTAAAATTAGTTTAAGGTTTCAGTAGAGTGAAGGCAGAAGCCATACAAATAATGTTGCAAGTTGTCTGCAATATATTGCTAAGAAAATGTTTGGAAGAGTTAAACTTTAAATTAGTTTTAAGAACACTGCACAGACTAAATTAAATTTCAACTTGAAGATTGAGAAATTCCCAAAAATATGTTGTTAATAATTTTCTGACAATTTAATATTGAATTTCCCTAAAGACTAAGTTCTAAACATACCTGAAAAGTAATGAAACTTTGCAGGAAATATTAAACTCTAGTTCTATGACCTTTAATATGAGAGGAAAATATCAGCTAAGGTCAAAATGCCAAAGGATTTAACGATACGCATTTGTGCACCGCCCACATTTCGCGGCAAATAACAAAATCTAGGTCCCGTCACACCCCCAATCAGCACAAAAACCACACACCCACACACAAGGCTTTCTCGCATGTCAATTGCATATGGCCACAGAAAAATAATTTTGAAATCTTTTTCCCAAAATATATGTAGATTCTTTCAGCAAAACTGCGCCTCAAATTGCCTTTCAATCACGAAAGTGCCTCCCCTCTTTGCTTTCGCTATTTGAGCTTCAATTGCAGAAAAAAACCAAGTGTCTATCCAAATGTCAACTTGAATCGGATGATTTTTTAAAGCATTTAAGCATAAGTTCCATCTGGTTGATTAACTTTTTTCCTAGTTTCCATAGAGCATTTAATATTCGACTTTATTCACATGGCTTGTTTTTTATGGCGCTTAATTTTAAGTGTTCACTTTTCATATTCCTGTTTGGCTTTTCATCGTGATTGTTGGCAGTGTTGACATTTGCCATTCGCATTCTTTTCAGCATGTGTGTGGTTAGCATTTACATGATGTCTGCATACTATATATATACTATATATGTATATATAAATGCTCATATCTATATCTCCCCCGTGTGTACATTGCAATTAGTTTGAATGGCGAATTGCATATTTGTCTAATGGTTCGCCCTAACCACCGCAAAAGACCATTTGCCCATCCATGCAAATATTAGCTGTTATTTTTTATGAATATTTTTTATTAAGTTTCGTCATGCGAAAAAACATTAGAACCTAACAACCTTAATTGGTACGTCTTTTTTTATTCTTAAGTGAGGTTTAACCGCAGATTTAGAGTGGATATCGGATGGGAAAATATTCAACAGCATATATGGATTATAAAATATTAAAAATTTGTGAATTCTAGGGGTATTTAATAGATATTTTTATGTGCGATGTTTTTGGGAAATCAACGATTTTAAAATATCATAACTAAGCCAAAAATGCATTAATTTCCATTCGGAATGCTTTCCTATGCCAGTTTTTATTAGGTTAAGAAATCTGCATACTCAGTTTGAAATTTTATAAAATTGAATTTTTTGCCAATTTTTGGCAATTTTAATGATGTGACCCCTTATTATTTTTTGCAAAAATGGAAACGTTTTTAAAAACTTCGATTTCTTCCAGACATGGCTAGATCGACTCAGCTGTTGATGCTGATCAAGAATATATATGATTTATAGGGTTGGAAATGACTCATTCACTGCTTTATAAGCTTCTGATTGATATAATAATACCCTGCAAGGGTATTAAAATATCTGTATTATATCTGAGATATATTCTAAAAATTTTTAATACTTTCTAAATACACGAAATGCACTCACTTTCCACTCTTAATTCCCCTCACTTGTACTATTTATTTTACCAAATAGCTACTCGAATTCCAAATGCAATTCCTTTTGGAACAATAGCCAAGCAAGTGGACTAAATAACTGCCAACGGGAATTGCATCGTAAATTCCCAACGTTAGACTCCCTGGCACTTTACATATAATCACTTTACCTGCTCGGCTATTCGTTAAACTCCCCAATCTCCTTCACTTTCGTTTAAAATACTCTCCAGGAGTGGGGGAAAGTGGGGAAAATTCCCAAAGAGAGGTAGCAGCAGATTGTCGCGCTGTTGACGACTTCCGGAACGGAAATTGTTTGGCGCTTTAATGAGCCAAGTGGCTCGAAGTTGACTGTAGATGTCTGCCACCAAGGAGCTAAGGAGCTCTGAGCCGGCAACAAATGAAAACTGACATCGGGGCAGGGGCTTAAGCGTCTAAATTGATTTGCCAGATACTGATTTAATTAAAAACAGGCTGCAAGTGCAATGAAGACATCCTCAGCTCAGTTGGTGTTGATTCCCCTCGAGGACTTCTTGAGCAAGAGACGTGAGCAATGACATCAAGTGGGGAACGCTTTATTTCATTTTAAGCTACCTTTAAAATTGTTTAATTTAATGAATATACAAAGAACAAAACCCCTTAATTATAATTTACATTTTATAAACATTAAGGTAGAAGAACAACTGAACCATAAACCCTAAGTAAAGGTTAACTCTTATAAAAATAAATATTCCTCCAAAACAGAGCAAGCTTCAACTGACCACAGACTCTTCCCTGTAAATAAGTCCTATGTTATTTTAAGCTTAATAATTCTGTTTATTCATGCAAATGTATAAACTTTTTGCTCAGTTTCATAAACTAAAGCCTTACTGTTCAGTGCGCTGG